AAAACTTTTTTTTTATTTTTCGTGCCTTCTAGAAGACCTGACAGTTGCATTAGAACACAGGCATCCCGTGTTGAGAAGGATAAATGACTCATGGGTGGAGCACCTGCCCAGCCACAAACTAAAAATTCCATTCACGCTCTGATTCTGTTGTTTATGCTGATCTCTCACCGTAAAGATATTTCAGTACCGATTGTTGAAACAGGTTGTTCAGAATCTGTTTCAGAACAGATTGTTAGGCTGAGTGTGTAACGATTTCTCTAACCTCACCTTTCAAGAAATTTGTAGTTTTCAGAATATTTCTCTTGAGCTAAGGTTTTCATCATTCTGGGCTAGCTCAAGGTGTGAATTTTGCAAATGTTAAGCAAAAACTGTTTCGAGGTTTTTTTTGCATAGGAAAAAATCTTTCTGTTACTACAAATACATATTGTGATTTTGTGCAAAGAGCTTTATTGCCAAACAGTTGAGTTTGAAATACAGTGCAGAAGTAGCCCCTGTTGAGGACAAACACCTTTGAGTATTCTGTAGAAAATCAGTTTTAATTTAACTAACCTTCAAGCATATTTTGAGAACTAGTAATTTTTCTGTAAGTTCCTAAAGTTCACAGTTTATGAAAGTTTTATTCAGTGGAAGAACTGGATAATTTAACAGGATGGTGAAAAACATGCAGAGTGAGTTAGGAATTATATAAATTTGGTAAAGAGCCAAGAGAAAGAGGTGCTGGGAGGCACCTTACATACTCCACAGTCTTCAAAGTTTTCTAGAGTAACACCTCCTCTGGCATATAAAATATGTGAAAGATAGGAGCCCTGGTATTACATGTTCAAATATAATCACAGGTCTGGACTTAACTCACCCTGTCGCTGCTTATCCTATGTATCACGACTCTGACTTCTTACAGCATATTTTTCACTTTAGAAAGTTTCCTGGAAAGGAGTACTTGTTTAGTGAAAGTTTGAAGTCGGGTCATCTCAACTCTGCCCTGTTTGCCTGTGAGCATGCCTAATCCGGTCTTCAAACACATGAAGACATGCTGCTTCGCATAATTCGGTGAGATACTCTTCTAAGCAGAAAGTTAGGGCCATTGTTGAAACATAGAACGTAGAGAAGACTATAAATGTTTCACTTCATTGTTTCGTTGTTAATATCTTGTAATTCAGTAAGACAAATTCTGTAATTGCATCCTACCAGTGCGATTATATTTGCCTTGAACTACAGATCTCAACCCTAAAGTTTGCTGTGGGGTATGAAATTAGATAAACCCTTCATATGGGTGGAGTTCACTATAAGTTAACAGCATTTGCTGTGGTAAACCATTTTGTTCATCATCTCTTTTTGCTGAAGTGAGTCCTCGGTGTGGTTTGGGTGCACCACTTGGGTAACTGCTGAAACTGCTGTGGTTTCAGAATAGGACCTGTTTTGCTTTTTTCTGAACTTTTTTCCCCTGAAACTATTAGCAGAAAAATCAAGTAAGTCAGGGTTACAACTGTTTGCCTGCACTTTCATACTGCCATACCTCAAAAACGATGAGCAGTATCATGTAAAAACGTAACATTTTCCAGTGACTATAAGATAAATGCAGTCTTCGTTACTACTAAGTGTATATTTTGCAATATTATGATTTTACCAATGTCCTTCGGTTCAGTTGGTGACTTTTTGATGTGGTTTGGGTATTTTTGCTTTACATTATAGAGATACTGGACCCGCATTCTTGACGTGCTAAACATGGGAATACAAGAATCTTTTGTGTACTTAAGTATACATTTACTGCAATGGGAGATTCACACTTGGTGTAAGCCAGCAAGGAGGTCAGAAAGATAATTCTGGTGGTGTTATTACTAATTTGTGGCTGATAAATGAGTAAATTTGAACGTCTAACTGAACCAAACAAACTTCTCCCAGGCCTCCAAGCCATGTTTGCTGAGTGTGGTGGGGTAAAACAGACCAGAAGCAACATACAAAGTGTGGTGAAAGAGGGCTCGTTGAGGACTCTGTCACGAGTGTCAGGATCAGTGTACTTAGCGTGGGCACTGCCCTTAAAATTGCTCTGCAGAAAACAAACCTGATTTTGTAATGGTTGGTCTCTTTCACCTTTTTTTCAAAATAACAAAAGTAAAGCCCTGTTCTTTTCTTTAACATACGAAAACTGAAGAAGATGGTACTTAGAATGTGAAATGAAAATTTTCAATATTATTAGCAGTAACTTTAGTATTCATGGTGACATTTCCTCTACAGCAAAGTTATTCTTTGTGATCTGCTGTGAAGGTGAAGCACAAGAAACCCCGATGCTCTTTGTGTACGTTCTGAAACCACTAGGGGCTTTGTGCAAAAACATTAAACAGGCCACCTAGAAAAAACAGGTTTGCTGAATAAATACGTTGCAAACCCTGCATTTGTATTAACAGTCACCAGTTCCACAAAGTGGTTTCGGCAACAGAAGTTTTAACCTAAGCAAAGGGCAGCTTAAAATGGGTCATTTTTGCCTCTATCAATCAAAATTGGTTTGGGGCAACATAGGGTGAGGGATGCTAGCAGGGATTTGCTTGCTGCTAACTGGCAATAGAGGAAGGAGAAAAAGATGTAGAAAGTTCTTGTTTTGCCTTGACCTTAAATTAGAAATGCAGGTACTTTAATTCTCTCTGTAATTTAAAATAATTTGCTCTTTTATCTGGAGAATTACATACAAAATGCTGAGTGTCTCATCTCTGACCGGGTTTGCGTAGTTTGCTAACACTGCATAGCTGTGGCTGAAGGTGAGATCTCCTGAAGGCTGTGGTGGTGAGCGGGATGGAAATGCCTCGCTCCATTTCAGAGAGCAAAACGAGGTCTCTGTCGATAGGAAAGGCAGTTTGAAACTGTGGCGAAGGAGGGTCCGTGCCTGTTGGGAGAGCAAATGCTGCTGGTATTTCCTGTATATTTTGTCGCTTCCTTCCATGAAGGGCAAATCATTGGTCTGATCTGCTTGTCTTTAGAAGTCCCACATGTGGTTGCCAATATGGGTGTCCGTATATCCTTGCCACATCTGTTAACCAGGACAGAGCACGTACTGAACCATGAAATATAGTATTGGAGTGAACTTTAAGAGATCTCGTTTATCCTCCAGCTTCAAGGCAGCTAAACCAGTGTGATTTCTAGAAACCGTTTCTCAAACCTCTGGGACACGATGATGGAATGCAACGAGTTCCCTAGGCAGTCTTGAGTATTCTTAAGTTATAAACATGTTACAGATTGTCTAATGTAAATCTCTCTTGGTAAAATCTAAATCCATTAGCCTTTTTCTTCATGGAAGATGTGCCTACAGGACCATGATCAGTCTCCTCTTGAATACTCTTTAAGCCTAAACAAATCCAGTTGTATCTCCTGCTGCATGTCTCTAGTTTTCTACGCCTCTTTCTGTCTGCTTGTTCCGCTGTGGACTTCCCTTGCTTCCCATTTTCCCTGAAGCACAGTGCCTGCGGGCGGGCACTGTACTGCCTCCGAAAGCCGGAGCCTGAAAGCCGGAGCCTGACGTTAGCACTGCACTAATGAGATAAGAGCCTGCGTGATTCCTCCAGCTCCCCTGTAAGTCTGTGCCTGCCTGAGTTTGCGGGCTCCGGCCCCCTGCAGCCTGTGCCATGGGTAAGGAGGTGCCGCCAGCCGGGAGAGGAGCCTGTGGCCATCCAAGGGCTGTACGTGGGGCGAGCGGGCTTTTGGCTGGCCCCTGGGGTAGGAGAGGCTGAGCTGTGGTCTAACGGCAGGTGAAGGCAGGCTGCTGCGTGGGTTATTTATCTAGTGCAAGTTTGCTGACCTTTATTTCTCATTGACAAGTGAGGATTTTTCACAGCTTTGAGCAACTATCATAAAGTTCCCAAGCAACTACCAAAGCACCTTCTTAAAAGCTGTCAGGTTATGTCTTAGACGTGCCAAGTACATACTCTGAAATTTGGGTGTTCCACTCCATTTCTCTGTGCTTTCCTAGTATGTGTATCCTGATGTGAATAAGATTCCTATTATTAACTTGCAGTTCAAAGAATTGGACATTTCAAAAAAGTTAGCTTTATTAATGCAAATAATGTATGTAATTCAGGTTATTATGCAGGTTGTAAGTATTTATTTCTTTTTAAAAAAAGTTTCTATATTTTCCTTTATCGTTCGTCAAGTACACATTGGTTTGTTCATCCAAGGAGAGGTTTTGTTTTATGGTTTGGGTTTGGGGTTTTTTTTAGGGGGTAAGGGGGTTAAGGTAAAAAAATTACACTTATCCATTTAGTTATTTGACCTAACAAAATAGTACTCTGTGAAAGGGGAATTAAAAATGAACCATTGAGGCTCTAATTGCAACAAGTAAAATATACAGCTGTTTTTTATGAACATACACAATAGTGCCTGTGATTTCATTTGTTACTGGGGTGGAATATAAGAACAAGCAGACACCTACAAAAGGTGGGTTGCACAGCAAGCACCCCACAACAAGGTGATTTCTTCATCAGTCTCTCTTCTCTTGTACGTGTGATGGTAGAAGGATATATGAGTCCCAGGAAAAAAAGCAGAACGCATGCATTCTCTAAAGTCCCGGATAAGTTACTACTTAATTATATTTAACATGGTTCTCTTTTAGTGATAGGTATTTTTGATTATTTTGTCTTTTATATGATCCCAAACTTAAACTTGAAATATCTCTAATCCTGGAAAATGAACTAAAGTCATATGTGTCAAATTCTTCTGACCAGATGTCTTTATATTGGGTTTTATCGTGTAAAATCGTGGTGGTATTAATATTGCAGTATGTATAAGTAAGATAATAAATCCATTTAAATAAAACAACTGTTTGAGATGATTTGCATTGAGAAATGAGTACAATTACATTTGGTTAAATTTTAAACACCCCAGGAGGAACGGATGATGCTAAAGTGTATCAGCAGTTTCCTATTTAAGGGGTTTGCATTGTCCATGGTAAGTAACTGCTCTTTTTCTCCTTTTGTTTTTTTTTTGTTTTGTTTTGTTTTTTTTCCTAAACTTTCCAGGTAAAAGTACTCCTGTAAGCCACCTTGGGTCTTCAGATTTTCCCAAGCCCCATGATCCATTCCAGCCATTTGGGGCTGACAGCAGTGACCCGTTTCAAAGTAAAAAGGGGTTTGGGGACCCATTTAGTGGAAAAGATCCATTTGCTCCCTCCTCTTCAAGTAAAACTTCTAAAGACTCTTCCTTGGGGTTTGCAGACTTCAGCTCTGTAAGTTAAGTTCATTGTCTCTGAGCAAACCACTTTCTGCTCTGCTTGCAGCAATCTATTGGGGTTTTGGTTTAACTGCAAACCTACTGTTCACTGGCTTCTGTCTCTTAGTACCTTCATGCTGTCCTCATTGTTTTTGTATTAATATTTCTGTAATAAAAAGGCATTATTTCAATAAAAAAGAAGTTTCGTACTAAATTTTAAAGGGTTTACTTGCATTTAAATTATTTTAGTACAGTGTGCCTTTACTCACAAATTCTTTGTAGCCAAATCTGTGTATTGTTTTTGTTGCATGGAGGCTATTTTGTAAACTGATCTTTGGGAGCCAATGATGTAAAGATTCAAAAAAACAATTGTTGAAAACATTTATATAGCAATTTCACCATATCCTGAGAAGCAAATCCTTAAGGGAAAAGATTCCATAAAGTATTTGTAATTGTTTGTGAAAAAAGTTCTGACAATCCTGTCACAATGTTTGCTGTATACGATGGAATGTGGTCATAAAGATACGTATATGAGGCAGAGATTGACAATTTAGCTGTTGAATTTTGTCCTGGTTACTGATACTGTAGAAAAGCCCTTGTTAGACAAAGAACACAAAATTGTTTTGTAGAACTGATAAAGAAACGTCCGTACTGCACTCCAAAAGACAGTTTCAGAAGGTCTGAAAGCAAAGCCAAGTACCCATTCATTAAAAAATAGCAGGGTTTCTAACCGCCTGGCTTTGGTTTTAGTGCTGGCAGGTTCGTTACTGAATTGGAAGTCACTGTAAATGTAGTAGTAGTAGTGTGGTTCTTGCTGCTTCCATGAGTAGATAGAAATCTGTTCCATCCACAGCCTCAGGCTTCTTCCTCCTTTCATGTGTTTTTGTTCTGTCACTTTGCCACGCCGTAAAATTGCCAACTTAATCTGTTCCTCAACTCTGATGGACACGGTGCCGTGTTCAACAAGTGGAGATCTTTAAGCTGAATCTTTCAGGTTGCTTATTTTTAATGGCTTTTTCCCCTAGTTATTAGTAAATGTGTATGACTTTCCTATTTGATATTGTTAGTTGAGGTCATCTGTGCATACTTCTAGCTGACCTCAGTGCTTTAATTTATCTATGATACCGAAGACGTCAAAGGTCGAGATCTGATGTATGCTTTACCACAGTTAGTACTAGCCTGTTGGATTTGCACAGTTAAATTCTGTGATTGTATACAAAAATGGTGACATTCTTAATAAAAATAAGACACAAAACTTGCTTTATCTGAAATTTCTTGAACAGCATCTAATTTCTTCCTCGAATGAAAGACAAATAATGGAATGGAGTGACTGTTACCCAGCTATTGTCATCTTACTTTACAGACTGCATTTCTTAAGTTAAAAGTGTGGCTTACACTGAGTGACTGTACCAAAAGATTAACCAACATCTCCAAAGCCCATCCCAGTGGGTGCTCTGGTGGTAAATTTGCTGTGCCATCAGGTTGTCAGGAGATGAGATTAACTTTAGAAGATAAGGAAACTTGAGCAGTGGCCACTTATAATTACTGTTAGGTGGCACTTCATCCAATTAAATTACTTTTTAATTAGTTTTGTGAATTGCTTTCTACTGCTGTAAGAAGAAAAAAAAAAAAGGCATTAACTGAATTTGACTGAAAAGAGACTTGATCCCTAATGTTTTCAATATTTATATTTTGCATGCCTGTGCCACAATATATTGCTACACTTGATAATTCCTAATCCTTCTTTAAGAAGTCTTAAGGGTACCAGTGACCTTGTAATCGGCAAGACTATTGTGCTTGTCTTTGCCTAATGTTTGGGAAACTCTACTCACAATGGAAATTAAAAGCAGTTTAACTGGCAGAAGTTTTTTTGACGCACAGTTTGAGTCTATGGAATCTCAGAACAGAATCATACAATCATGTAGGTTTGAATAATTGAATAACCTGATTTTTAATTAGAATTCTTTACTGTTGCCAAGAAGTAACATGCAGACCTTCACTAGGTTTTAGGAGCACTCTAGGAAGTTTGGCTTTTTTTTGAGACACTGGCAAATTCACGCACCCAGAGTTTAAGTATATTCTCATTGCATTCTTAACTTTTCCACTGGCATTAAATATGACTCTCTGGAACAAAACAAAGCCTTTTGGTAGCTCAGATTTCAGGTATTTCTAGGTTCCAGCTTCAGTTTACGCAACAACAAGAAAAGCAATCTTTCTGCCAACAGAAAGCATTTAAATTTCCAAGAAATGGAGCACTTAGTACTAAACTAAAATTTTTCTCTTACTATAAGCTGGTAATTTAGTAAACACAAGTCAGCGTAGGTTTTTGTGTATTTGATTAGTTTGGCTGCAGTCTGCTGTTTTCCTCATTTATGCCTTGGGTCTAACTGTACTTCTGGGGGAAGAAAGGTTTTTTTAATGAAATGACAGATATGTGATACGTATTTGCAGACTTCTTGAAACCTGGATATATGCAAAGAAATTGTTACTGTATTAAATGACTTTTAATTCAGTTATGTTACCTTTCTATAGGCAGTCTGTGCAAGAACCAGTGGCACTAATGAACTGTTATTCCTCTATCTGATGGTCAGAGTTATGCTCCTGAAAATTTTACTTTATGCTAACCATTTGTAATAAGGAACATCCAGATTTGTTTCCAATGAATCACTTGCCTGTTTTCTTTTTTTTATTTTAACTCAGCACTTCTAACCACAAAAATATAACTTGTGTACCATAAACAAGTCATAATTGGGACTCTCATAAGCTTTGGAAGACTTATCCTAAGATGTAAGCTATATAAGTAGAACTGTTTTCTCAACATTAAAAAAAAAAACAAAACAAAACACAACAAAACAAAACACCCCACAGAGTTTGACCAAAGCTTATTGTATTTCTGAAAATAGTAACTGTTATTCTTCATCACAGCTATATGATCTTTTTGAATTCTTGGAATTGGTGGAGAAGTTCTACTTCCATCTGAGTCCATTGTCACTGTATCTTGAAAAAAAAATCATCTGTTTAAAATCTTAGCGAGCTTTTAAATTTTACCTGTCAGCTGACGTTATTTAAATGAGTAATGATAGTAAGTTTTCTTCATTGTAAAAGTAAAACATCATAAAATACGTGGCACTTTTATTGTATTTCAATACCCTTGAATGCAAAAGTCTTCATCTAAATTCTGATAGCAATGAAAGCGGAGGTATTGTTTGAAGAAAGGTAATTTCAAAATAGTCCTCACTTTTTTGCATCAAATCATCGGAAAAATCATATTGAGAGAAATAAAATGAGGAATTGTGAGCATCCGAAAGCACACAGATAAAGCATAATTTAACTAAATTACGAGTAAATGAGAATTGGAGTGGGGTTGAAAGGAATTCAAATAGATGCATTTATTTCAAAAATATGAATTATAGATACAGTGCAGGGTGGAAAAGGCAGGGGTGGGGGCTGTCCCATAGTACATAGGCAGCCTGGCATAGGTCTGGCACTTAAGGTTGCCTTTAATGCTCAGTTCAGTATTTTGAGCTTCTGTGGGAAGGTGGAGCTGTATCAGCTTTGCCTGTGTTCACAGTCGCTGCGTTGGGGACCACAGGGCAATTTTTGCAGTATGTGTTCAGCTGGAATTGAAACTATAAATTCCATGTAGTTTTTGCATTTAAAAAAAAAAATAAAAAAATAAAAAAAAAACCCAAACAAATAATATGTTTTCCTGACCGTTCAAAAAAAGACAGTGCAAAGCAAATTTTAGAAGTGGGATATAATGCAACCATTTGTATGCAGCTGTGTGAACGCTTCTGTTAACATCACCCTCTGCAGCAAATGCTGAAATTAAACAGTAACAGATTATATTTTAGTTTTAAATTGTTATGATTTCAAGAAAATATTTTAATACTTTGTGCAGAAAGCTCAAACAAGGAAACTTTTGCATACTTCTGTGGTAGATATTGGAATATAGTTTTGGAATAGTTTTGCTGCAGTGTACTTAAATGTGTTTTGGGAAGCTCAAACAGGCTTAGAAGCTGAATGTTATAATGTGTTATATTTCCTTAGTGTTTTCTGCTGAAGTAAATTGGATTCTCTGACATTATTTCTTACTGGAAAAACTCTGCATGTATTTTATAAACAGTAACAGAAGCGCTTTTTGTGACTTTGGATTTGGTGACGAAACTTCCCACAAATCAGCAGTCTCCAGAGTCATTATTAAAACCCCTCACCCTCCGCAGAAAATACTACAATAAAACTCTCTGCAATGGAGTTGCACAAGAGTAAATAACTCTTGTTTTTACCAGCTATTTACTATTCTTAAAAATGGATGTAGGTTGCTATGCTCCCAAACCGCTAACTTGCTGTTTTTGTGTTTGTGGAGTTTTTGTTTGGCTCCAGTCCCCTGGCCATTTTCATACACAACTGAGCCATGGATGCAGGGACGTGCAGCCCAGATGGGTTAGTTTCCTGGTGGGAGGAGGAAGAAATTAAGGAAATAAATTAAAGGATGAAGTGAGGAAGTCAGTGAGTGAATTTTTATCCTAATCCAGAAGAACTACTCTAAGACAGCTTGGTATACTTGATTCATATCTTTAATCCCTTTGTTTCATTGTATTTTTCACATAATTTCTTCTAGCTTTTTGGTAAATATATTAATCTCTTTTCCATTTTCATTTTTTAGTTTGGAAATGAAGAACAGCAGCTGGCGTGGGCAAAGCGTGAGAGCGAAAAAGCAGAGCAAGAAAGACTAGCTCGATTGCGGAGACAAGAACAAGAAGACCTTGAGTTGGCTATTGCACTCAGTAAGGCTGATATGCCAAACTCTTAAATAGAGGTTCTTTGGCTCCACCCTGTCCAAGTGAAACCTTTAAACACGGCTTTTATAAAAATACTAAATTCTTGGTTTATGTTGTGAAAATTTTAGTCACCTTCAACTCTAAACAAGACCAGCTGGTTACGTCAAACCCGGCTCTCTGTGGCTTTTCAAGTGCATAATATGCAGGAAACACTGTATAAGCTGTATTATATGTCCTAGGTAAAATTTACTGCTTGTAAGAAATTTAACATATGATCCGAAGATACTGAAAGCAAAGTTTCTTTATCTGGAAGACAATGTTGCATATAGTAAACTGCAACTTGTGAATCTGGCTTTTTATTACCTGAACTCCATTGATTTTTTTGAGGCTGCAGTATGAATTTCAAAGAAAACGTCATAAAAAGATAGTATTTATAGAATTAGCTTTCACTTGTTACATTTATTTAATAATTCACGGTAGGCTAATCAGTATGTCCTCTGCGTCATCTATGTCAAAGTCTTCAGCATAAATTCATTATTAGATGGTCCCTTTTTGTCCAGGAGATGCGGCTTTTGCAAAAGAGTCTGGCAATTTATATATGATGAATACAAACATGGTGAACTGTATAAAATACTACGAATTGGAAGCCTCTATGAATAAGTAGTTCTTCTAATTTAAACATTTGTTTGCATTGAATTTTAATAGTTGTATGTGATGTTGTAAAAGAGGCAGTTCATTCAGTTGTAGTAAATTGGACAATTAATTTGGCAATTAAATCATTAGGTAAAATCTTGCTTTATCTCATAAGCAAATATGATTGGCAGGATTGTGATACAAGTTTGAGTGCTGCTTTCATGTAAAATCAAGCAATGGAAAACTTACTAAGCTTAAGCAGCGTTCATCCCTGCAACTCCTTTTACCCTCTTTTGCTCCGACCACCGGAACGTAGACCCTGGTATTTGTGTTCCCCAGTTGACGGCGTGAGACGGCCTTTACCTCTACTTCTTTAATTCCCCCTATCTTATATTAACGGGGTTACAGATCAAACGTAATTTAGCTGAAATAAGGCCAAGTTGAAAGAGATTTTATTTGCCAAATACATGTTCATGCATAAGTTATAGAAGTACTGGTAGACTGAATTGGCTTTAAAATGCGGCTTGCGGCTTGCAGTAGTCCAAATAGGAACAGATTTTGTATACACCTCTAGAACTCGGTACTTCCACCTGGTCAGGGTAACACAGAATGTGTTTTACATGTCATATATAAAATAAGTCCTTATGATAAGTCTGTGAATTATTTACTTACTAAAAAATGCCTTCTCTGATTACAGGAATTCTAAAACTTCAGTTGTCTTGGCCTTGGACTTTTATGTCTAAATAGAATAGGCATCTAGCACAGAATTTTTTACACGTCCTTATGTATATCCGCTTTCCTATCCTTGGTTCTCTAGGAATATGAAGCTTAACAATCTGTGTTTTTACTGATGCAGCCCTTATAACATTTTCTCTATTTTTTTGAAAATGTGGTATTCCTTCATCATCTTTAATCCGTTTATATTTTTTACGTCCTTGCTTCCTTACTTTTATTTTTCAGAATACAAAGACAGTGCCTGTTCACTGAATGAAAACAATCTTTCCTCGTTCTGTTGTAATTGCCTTATTCTGGATGCTTTCCTTACACAGAGATACGAATCGGATTGGATCCTTTTAAGCTTCTTAGTAGTTTTCAGCTCTGAAAGGCAGCTACGGTGTGGCGTTTCTTGTCTCAGGCTTTTGTGAGTGGGTGTATGGGCGAGTGCCTGCGCATGTATGTACATACGGGCGCACACACGCATCCCTCCATTGACGTGTGCAGCAACACATGACAAAAGCGAAACCCCACATCTCAAAACGCAGGTTTAGGAGTCACAATTCCCTGTTTGCTGTGGGTCTCCTGTGCTAGCAGTACTGCAAATAATGTGAATTGTTAATTCCCCGCAGAAGGGGAGAAGATGCATTCTAGTATCAAATACAACCATGTAATGATCTTTAATAGTGTCTTTTAACGATCCCTTCGGAATGCAGGAGAAGATATTTCTTAATTTTATAGAACCTGATTTGAAATCACTTCCCATTGTAGTAATTTTTCTCTAAAATATGGTAGATTAAATGATCAAACGTACTAAAATGCCAACAAATCCTCTTTTCCATTGGTGTACAGGACTTAATCTCTGAGAGCAAACTTGGGTCTGTCTGTCGCTAAAACGAGAGAAAACTTTTGCTATGAAAGAGCAATTTTCAGAATTGAACGGCTGCAGGATTCTTGCTGAAGTTAAATTGTATCCATGAGTAAGCTGCTCCTCTTCATTTTCATTTGGGCCTGAGTCTTTGTGGTGTCTTTTCTGCTACAATAAACCCCCCTTCATACGTAGTGCCACTTTAGAAAGGAAAACCACTTTGGGGCTGCTGCTTGGATGACGTCGCTCCAGTGGGACGGGGCGGATGAGCTGAACGGCTTGATTCATTTTCTGAGTTATGTACCGTAACAAGACTTTCTGCTGCTTTGTCAGTGCTCTAAAATACTGTAATTTATAATGCTTCTAAGGCAACAGCAGTAAGCCAGAAATGTGAATTAATCTAGCATTCCATGTAGTGTTAGAACTAATTGCTCGTTTTCCTATTTCCTTATTGACTCATTCTTCATACTTGCTTGGGCAGTACTGGAAGATCAAGCAAATGAACCAGGACAGAACCTGTTCTCTATGCACAGAATATTAGATTTAGTAACCTGAGGTTCACTGAAACACTCTTGAGTCAAAATTTTAGACGCTGCAGTAGAAGAAAACTGAGCTGTGATTTCTCCCCATTGTGTTTCATACAATTTTCCGTACAAAAAGGAAGATACCCACGTTCTTCCCTTACGCTCAATAACTCTGTGTTTTGTATAATACCTGCACTTGTTCTTCTAAAACAAAACATTTTTTTCGCAAGACATTGATCATCTTCTTCCTCCAGAACAGTGAAATTTAAAGCACAAATAGGCCTATCGCTATTTGGGCAGAGAAAATATGTACAATGCAAGATATATAAAATGTGAGTATACACAGTGCATATACAGTGTACATTAGGAGATCCATATTATTTGTGTCTGTGTGTATATATATATATAGTGTATTGTATAATGTAATAATAGTGTGTGTATATACTATACATGTCCACATACTATGTCTAGTATGTAGTTACTTGTGCTGTACATAAAATGTGTATATACAATGAATATGTAGAATATGCATATATATTCTATATATTAAAGCTTGTGTGTATGTATGTATTCTCTAAACAGAGATGGATACAGAAATGGAATTTTCACAGAAATGCAGATTAGATCACGGCTCTTAGAATTTCAAAGTTCTGGTGAAAGAAAAAAGAAGGAGAAATGACTACTTCTAATAAATTTGTTTCACGATTACTTTCATTGGCATGAAAACCCGCGTGCACTAGCTGTGCCAAGTGTGAGAGAGAAACCTGGCAGAAAGTAGGCATCATCCGCACTGGATGCGATTTCACATTCTTTTCAGTTTTTAAAGTCTCTTTTGGAAATGTGGGCTCAATTTCTCGTCTCCTTGCACGTGATGGTCATGTCATCTTTTCTTTTTCTCTAGGCTGAGGCAATGATTTTTCTCCTACATTTGCTTGTAGTTTCACTTCTCTCTCTCTTTCTTTTTTTCCCTTTTATAAAAGGTATTTTTAAGGAGCTATTCCCATACACACACACGGCCCAAACAGTCGCACGCTAAGGTGGAAAACATGTTTTTCTTGCTTCATTCCAGTTATATAGGTTGCACATAATTGTCATCTGGATTTCAGCTCTGTTTTTCCTCCGTTTCCACCTAAGCTTTTACTTCAGGAGGAATGACTATCCATTGCATTCTTGGCTTTGAGGAAAGAATGGAGGTGATTCTGCTTTCTACTCGGGTAAATTATTAGACTCTGTGGTACGTTGAGCAATCGCAACGAGTTTAGTAGGCTTTTATAGTGGCACATGTGTGTTTTATACAGAGTATCGTCACTGCTGGAATGACTCATGGAAAACCTTGAATTGCACACAGCACCGAGGCACAACAGTTAAAACAGGAAAGACGGACAATTACTCACGTTGAACCTACGCATGCAAACTTTGCATGTAGGACACAGGTATTGAATTACCCACATCATCCTTTATAGACCAGTGAGTTCACAATTGCCTCGAGTGGTTTCCCTAAGTTATATTCAAATACTCCTGTCGTAAAACATACCAGTCATTCTGCAATAAAAACAGATGCTCATAAAAGTAGTACTTCTACAATAACGCTGTATGAAATATTTTTATATTGGCAAATTTTTCCTTTTGAAATCTCTGCCCTGTGAGGATCATCAGTCCTTACTGTGTTTTATTTCATGTTACGTGCTCCCAAAGCGTAGGAAATTCCAAGCTGTGTCTGACTGTGTAACCTTTTCTTTTTTTTTTCCCTTTTTTTTAGTTCCTGTCTGTGAAATCTGTTGTCAGAAATCTTGTAGAAATTATTTTTGTCATCTTATGCTCAAAGATAATGCACTTTTCTTGGATTCTTCTTATAATCCTTTTGGGGTTACTATTTCTTCTTTAGTGTTTCTCCATTGAGAAGAGTATTTATTCTGTAGAACCGAGGCCCAAGGAATTTTGGTCCAAGTAGAATTGTCGCTTTCCCTCATGTAAGAGTTTGATTTCTCCTTTCTTCTGCCTTTTATTCCTCCCTCTCAGGAACTTCATTTCTCTTTAATCCTCATTTAGAGTTGGAACTCTGTTAAAGTAAATTGATCTGTGCTAATAACAATCTAGTTCAAATATCTTCCTGCACCGGCGGAACAGCTAAGTTGTTGTCGTGTGTCAGCCGTTGCGCCTCCCTGTAGACTTCACAACAAACATCTTTTCTTAGAAAGGAATTTTGCTTGGAGTATGGTGGAATCACAGAAGATTTATTTTTAGAGTAAATATGTTAACTCTTATTCATTGACACGCCTGTTTTATCAGTTGA